GAGAAAATCAGTGAAGTTTTAGGTGAGAAAATCCCCCAAAAAGGGCTTTAAAAAAAGACGAACTGGAGGAGATATGCCGGGGGATGTTTCTCTGTATTCCTCACACATGTTGGATAGAGATCTCAGCCACATGTTGAATACAGAGCAATACAAAACCTGCTGTTGCTACTGACAATAAATATGTGATTTATCCTAAATAAACCATGGAGGTCGGACAGCTAGCCTGCAGACCTGCTCATTAATGAATGAATGTGAAGTATCAGATTTCTCTTTAAATATATATATATTCAGTGGAAATCCTTCCTTGCAATTAAAGCTTTCCATGCACGTGTTGCTGAAGCTAAGACTTTATGTCTGCTTCTTCATCTCTAAACTGGCCTTGAGAGAAAAATGTGGTATCCACAGGTCGTCGACTCGAGAAAAAAAATCATAATTTCACTGTCGGAGAGCAGGGACATCTGTATCTTCCTATACAACATGAGTAATACCAGCTCTAAATACGTGATCCTTTGTGCTTCTCACGGCTGAAATACAATATATCACTAAGGCAACATGCAGAGATGGTGTCCATGAAGACGGTGCTTTATCAAACGCTCCCGCTGAGCTGAAGCAGACATAAATAAACCCTGCAGGAAACCCGAAGTAAGCACTATCTTTAATGCTCTGTTATTCTGTTATGAACCCCATCCATTAGGGGTCTGCTCCTGTCATCAGTATTCAGAACACGATGTGTGGTGATATTTAAGATATGCAAAGGGTCTGAACTGAGGGTGGTGACATGTTATTAATACTTAACTGGTTCCACTTTCCTTAAGTGGAACCAGAATCAAAACTAACTCTGTATTCTTCAAACCCTGAAACACATGTTTGCCCACCATACAGTTACAGTTTCATGATTGGATTTATATTATTATAAGAAGTGATGCACACAGCTGGGACTGGCCTACGGTCAATTGACTCTTTAAAATGGTTCTAATGTTACCGTTTTAATGTTTAACCGAGCCTTATCTTTGCACTTTTAGCTGCAGCCAGTATTTTTAATTATTATGTGTTAATGCCTGTGAAGCACTTTGAATTGCCTCTGTGTCTTAAAATGTGCTATAGAATAAACTAACCCACTGTATGTTTCCAAAACTCCTCATAAGCAGAATTAAATTCAGTTTTTATAAAAGAGAGAAACACACATACTTTGTATCCCTCTAGTATATCTCCCATAACTCAGCTACTCACTCCTCTCTGCAGCTGAGCTCATTTACATTAATCCACCATGATCTCCCATGAGTGCTTTTTAACGATACAATCTCTTCACTGGAGTAACAGTATCTGATTTTTGGGTCTGGAGCAGATTTAAAGTAATCCCATCTGTTTAGTGTGTTCATCTCTGTTATCAAGTATTCAGGACAGATCGTCTGGATGTCTGTTTATGTGTGGTGATATTTACAAAATTAGCCACAGTGTGACACTCTGTGTGGCGACCTTATTGTATTAATATTACTTATCAGCCAGTACCAGGAGCAGTCACACAAGCTGGGACTGAAGGACAGGTCATCGACGGCCCCAGAAAACTCAGAGGATTGGCTGTCAGGAGGAGAGAAGAGACCCTCGACTATCAACCACTGGGATAAACAGAGAACATTCAAGAAGTCCACTTTTTAGTTCCTTTACCCACACAACAGGTATATGAAGGAATACAGCACGGTCACATGACTTCACGTCACCACCGCTAAGCTAAAGGAGGCTAATTTTGGGCTATAAAGGAACTACAGCACGGTCACATGACTTCACGTCACCACCGCTAAGCTAAAGGCAGCTAATGTTGGGCTATAAAGGAACTACAGCACGGTCACATGACTTCACGTCACCACCGCTAAGCTAAAGGAGGCTAATGTTGGGCTATAAAGGAACTACAGCACGGGTCACATGACTTCACGTCACCACCGCTAAGCTAAAGGTGGCTAATGTTGGGCTATATAAAGGAAACTACAGCACGGTCACATGACTTCACGTCACCACCGCCTAAGCTAAAGGCGGCTAATGTTGGGCTATAAAGGAACTACAGCACGGTCACATGACTTCACGTCACCACCGCTAAGCTAAAGGAGGCTAATGTTGGGCTATAAGGAAACTACAGCACGGTCACATGACTTCACGTCACCACCGCTAAGCTAAAGGAGGCTAATGTTGGGCTATAAAGGAACTACAGCACGGTCACATGACTACGTCACCACCGCTAAGCTAAAGGATGGCTAATGTTGGGCTATAAAGGAACTACAGCACGGTCACATGACTTCACGTCACCACCGCTAAGCTAAAGGAGGCTAATGTTGGGCTATAAAGGAACTACAGCACGGTCACATGACTTCACGTCACCACCGCTAAGCTAAAGGCGGCTAATGTTGGGGCTATAAAGGAACTACAGCACGGTCACATGACTTCACGTCACCACCGCTAAGCTAAAGGAGGCTAATGTTGGGCTATAAAGGAACTACAGCACGGTCACATGACTTCACGTCACCACCGCCTAAGCTAAAGGAGCCTAATGTTGGGCTATAAAGGAACTACAGCACGGTCACATGACTTCACGTCACCACCGCTAAGCTAAAGGTGGCTAATGTTGGGCTATAAGGAACTACAGCACGGTCACATGACTTCACGTCACCACCGCTAAGCTAAAGGAGGCTAATGTTGGGCTATAAAGGAACTACAGCACGGTCACATGACTTCACGTCACCACCGCTAAGCTAAAGGAGGCTAATGTTGGGCTATAAAGGAACTACAGCACGGTCACATGACTTCACGTCACCACCGCTAAGCTAAAGGTGGCTAATGTTGGGCTATAAAGGAACTACAGCACGGTCACATGACTTCACGTCACCACCGCTAAGCTAAAGGAGGCTAATGTTGGGCCTATAAAGGAACTACAGCACGGTCACATGACTTCACGTCACCACCGCTAAGCTAAAGGAGGCTAATGTTGGGCTATAAAGGAACTACAGCACGGTCACATGACTTCACGTCACCACCGCTAAGCTAAAGGTGGCTAATGTTGGGCTATAAAGGAACTACAGCACGGTCACATGACTTCACGTCACCACCGCTAAGCTAAAGGAGGCTAATGTTGGGCTATAAAGGAACTACAGCACGGTCACATGACTTCACGTCACCACCGCTAAGCTAAAGGCTGGCTAATGTTGGGCTATAAAGGAACTACAGCACGGTCACATGACTTCACGTCACCACCGCTAAGCTAAAGGAGGCTAATGTTGGGCTATAAAGGAACTACAGCACGGTCACATGACTTCACGTCACCACCGCTAAGCTAAAGGAGGCTAATGTTGGGCTATAAAGGAACTACAGCACGGTCACATGACTTCACGTCACCACCGCTAAGCTAAAGGTGGCTAATGTTGGGCTATAAAGGAACTACAGCACGGTCACATGACTTCACGTCACCACCGCTAAGCTAAAGGAGGCTAATGTTGGGCTATAAAGGAACTACAGCACGGTCACATGACTTCACGTCACCACCGCTAAGCTAAAGGCGGCTAATGTTGGGCTATAAAGGAACTACAGCACGGTCACATGACTTCACGTCACCACCGCTAAGCTAAAGGAGGCTAATGTTGGGCTATAAAGGAACTACAGCACGGTCACATGACTTCACGTCACCACCGCTAAGCTAAAGGAGGCTAATGTTGGGCTATAAAGGAACTACAGCACGGTCACATGACTTCACGTCACCACCGCTAAGCTAAAGGTGGCTAATGTTGGGCTATAAAGGAACTACAGCACGGTTCACATGACTTCACGTCACCACCGCTAAGCTAAAGGAGGCTAATTTTGGGCTATAAGGAAACTACAGCACGGGGTCACATGACTCACCTCACCAAAGGAGGCTAATGCTGGGCTATAAGAACTACAAGCACGGTCCACGTGACTTTCACGTCACCCCCGCTAAGCTTAAGGAGGCTAATGTTGGGCTATAAAGGAACTACAGCACGGTCACGTGACTTCACGTCCCCACCGCCTAAGCTAAAGGAGGCTAATCTTGGGATATAAAGGAACTACAGCACGGGTCACATGACCTTCACGTCACCACCGCTAAGCTAAAGGAGGCTAATGTTGGGCTATAAAGGAGCTACAGCACAGTCACATGACTTCACGTCACCACCGCTAAGCTAAAGGAGGCTAATGTTGGGCTATAAAGGAACTACCAGCACGGTCACATGACTTCACGTCACCACCGCTAAGCTAAAGGTGGCTAACGTTGGGCTATTAAAGGAACTACAGCACGGTCACATGACTTCACGTCACCACCGCTAAGCTAAAGGAGGCTAACTGTTGGGCTATAAAGGAACTACAGCACGGTCACATGACTTCACGTCACCACCTCTAAGCTAAAGGAGGCTAATGTTGGGCTATAAAGGAACTACAGCACGGTCACATGACTTCACGTCACCACCGCTAAGCTAAAGGAGGCTAATGTTGGGCTATAAAGGAACTACAGCACGGTCACGTGACTTCACGTCACCACCGCTAAGCTAAAGGAGGCTAATGTTGGGCTATAAAGGAACTACAGCACGGTCACGTGACTTCACGTCACCACCGCTAAGCTAAAGGAGGCTAATCTTGGGATATAAAGGAACTACAGCACGGTCACATGACTTCACGTCACCACCGCTAAGCTAAAGGAGGCTAATGTTGGGCTATAAAGGAGCTACAGCACAGTCACATGACTTCACGTCACCACCGCTAAGCTAAAGGAGGCTAATGTTGGGCTATAAAGGAACTACAGCACGGTCACATGACTTCACGTCACCACTGCTAAGCTAAAGGTGGCTAACGTTGGGATTTAAGGAACTACAGCACGGTCACATGACTTCACGTCACCACCGCTAAGCTAAAGGAGGCTAATGTTGGGCTATAAAGGAACTACAGCACGGTCACATGACTTCACGTCACCACCTCTAAGCTAAAGGAGGCTAACTGTTGGGCTATAAAGGAACTACAGCACTGGTCACATGACTTCACGTCACCACCGCTAAGCTAAAGGAGGCTAATGTTGGGCTATAAAGGAACTACAGCACGGTCACATGACTTCACGTCACCACCTCTAAGCTAAAGGAGGCTAATGTTGGGCTATAAAGGAACTACAGCACGGTCACGTGACTTCACGTTACCACCGCTAAGCTAAAGGAGGCTAATGTTGGGCTATAAAGGAACTACAGCACGGTCACGTGACTTCACGTTACCACCGCTAAGCTAAAGGAGGCTAATGTTGGGCTATAAAGGAACTACAGCACGGTCACGTGACTTCACCACCGCTAAGCTAAGGAGGCTAATGTTGGGCTATAAAGGAACTACAGCACGGTCACGTGACTTCACGTCACCACCGCTAAGCTAAGGAGGCTAATGTTGGGCTATAAAGGAACTACAGCACGGTCACATGACTTCACGTTACCACCGCTAAGCTAAAGGAGGCTAATGTTGGGATATAAAGAACTACAGCACGGTCACATGACTTCACGTCACCACCGCTAAGCTACAGGCGGGCTAATGTTGGGCGTGATGGCGTTTAGTCGTCTCATTTAGTCACTTTTTAGCAACCTCTGTTTTTTAAATCCACCAGTGGAGTATTTATGACGTATTTAATGCCACATTTCAGGCCAAAAACTCAGTCAGAAAACCATTGACTTCCAGACCACGGGGACAGGAAGTCTCCATGTCCACAATGCGAGCTATCTACAAACATCAAATTTCCTCTAGCTGTCACATATCAGAGCCTCTGATCAAAGTCCAGCTTTATCTGCTCCAGTTATATAACCCCTCATTTATTACTGACCTAAATGGTGTGTAGTATCAGCATGGGTGATTGGAAAAGGCACTCAAATACTCAATTCCTATTGGTCATACTATACAGGTTAGCTAGCTAGTCATTTTGTAATAGTACGTTGCTTCCAAAAGCTCAATTACAAGATTTAAACAGATGCATTATATAGGATGATTGCAGTGAGGTATAAATATATATGATCTTGGTATTAAGGATTTAAAACCTGTGTGTTTATGAAACCCCAGGCGATGTTCCCTACTCTCAGAAAATATGGATATCTTCATATTTAGAGTATTAAGAAGTCATCACATCACAGATTAGTCTCTAGGACTAAGTGCTTATGAAAGGAATCGGCAAGGTTCTTAATGAAGCCATAAAACAATTAGACAGAGAACAACACAGTCCGAGTAGTCAATCAAACACCCATTAACTCAGGTGCTTCTAAAACAAGACGTATATTAATGAAGGGAAAAGAGGAGAGTCGACCTCTGTTTACCGTTGTGATTAAACTGATCTGGTTTCAGACAGAGGGTGAAATAAGAGCTTTTTGAACATTAAAGCATGGAGACATGTCACAGTAGAGGACACCTGAAAATGAGCAGAATATATCCTCTCTAAGATTTGATAAGGTATATCGGGCGCTAAATAGTCAGAGAGATAACCTATACATCTCACATAAACCATTGTTTAGTGTAGGGTTGTGTTTGTTTGTTTTAGCATCGATGTGAGGGTCTAAGGACAGAGGGGTCTAAGGACAGAGGGTCTAAGGACAGAGGGTCTAAGGACAGAGGGTCTAAGGACAGAGGGTCTGAGGACAGAGGGTCTGAGGACAGAGGGTCTGAGGACAGAGGGTCTAAGAGGACCAGAGGGTCTGAGGACAGAGGGTCTAAGGACAGAGGGTCTGAGTACAGAGGGTCTAAGGACAGAGGGTCTGAGGACAGAGGGTCTAAGGACAGAGGGTCTGAGGACAGAGGGTCTAAGGACAGAGGGTCTGAGGACAGAGGGTCTAAGGACAGAGGGTATGAGGACAGAGGGTCTATGATGACAGAGGGTAAGGGTCTGAGTACAGAGGGTCTAAGGAAAGAGGGTCTGAGGACAGAGGGGTCTAAGGACAGAGGGTCTGAGGACAGAGGGTCTAAGGACAGAGGGTCCGAGGACAGAGGGTCTAAGGACAGAGGGTCTAAGGACAGAGGGTCTAAAGACAGAGGGTCTAAAGACAGAGGGTCTGAGGACAGAGGGTCTGAGGACAGAGGGTCTGAGGACAGAGGGTCTAAAGACAGAGGGGTCTAAGGACAGAGGGTCTAAGGACAGAGGGTCTGAGGGACAGAGGGTCTAAGGACAGAGGGTCTTGTTGTTGTATTTGCTGTAAAGCGTCTCTACTGTAGGGTTGTTTTTATTTTATGTTCAGCCCTTTGGCTCTCACCAAACATCGTTTATAAATGTGCTTTATAAATAAAACTTGATTTGATTAAACACCAATATTAAAGTCTGGTTTATAGAAAACTGTGACTGACCTGAAAACTGTGATTCCTGGAGAACGTAATGATTGTCCGCTGCCACGTTTCCCTCCGAGTTTCTGAGGAGAGTTTCCACACCTCTGTTTTCTGACCCATCGTTTGAACCAAGACCTGAAGATCTGCATTATGTCCTCCGACATAATAGAAAGTCATCTGTTGAGTCAAAAGAACTGCACGGTTATCATCAGCTGCTGGGATCCAGAGAGGTACACACATCCTGTACTCAAGTAGAAGTACACACATCCTGTACTCAAGTAGAAGTACACAATCCTTTACTCAAGTAGAAGTACACACATCCTTACTCAAGGAGAAGTACACACATCCTTTACTCAAGTAGAAGTACACACATACTTTACTCAAGAAGAAGTACACACATTATTTACTCAAGAAGAAGTACACACATCCTTTACTCAAGTAGAAGTACACACATCCTTTACTCAAGTAGAAGTACACACATCCTTTACTCAAGTAGAAGTACACACATCCTTTACTCAAGTAGAAGTACACACATCCTTTACTCAAGTAGAAGTACACACATCCTTTACTCAAGTAGAAGTACACACATCCTTTACTCAAGAGAAGTACACACATCCTTTACTCAAGAGAAGTACACACATCCTTTACTCAAGTAGAAGTACACACATCCTTTACTCAAAGGAGAAGTACACACATTTACTCAAGAGAAGTACACACATCCTTTACTCAAGTAGAAGTACACACATCCTTTACTCAAGAGAAGTACACACATCCTTTACTCAAGGAGAAGTACACACATCCTTTACTCAAGTAGAAGTACACACATCCTTTACTCAAGGAGAAGTACACACATCCTTTACTCAATAGAAGTACACACATCCTTTACTCAAGTAGAAGTACACACATCCTTTACTCAAGAGAAGTACACACATCCTTTACTCAAGTAGAAGTACACACATCCTTTACTCAAGTAGAAGTACACACATCCTTTACTCAAGTAGAAGTACACACATCCTTTACTCAAGTAGAAGTACACACATCCTTTACTCAAGTAGAAGTACACACATTCTTGTACTCAGGAGAAGTACACACATCCTTTACCCCTCAAGTAGGAAGTACACACAGGATCCTTTACTCAAGTAGAAGTACACACATACCCTTTACTCAAGGAGAAGAAGTACACACATCCTTTACTCTAAGTAGAAGTTACACACATCCTTGACTAACAAGTAGAAGTACACCACATCCTTTACTCAAGTATAAGTACACAACATCCTTTACTCAAGGAGAAGTACACACATCCTTTAGGCTCAAGGAGAAGTACACACATCCTTTACTCAAGGAGAAGTACATCACATCCCTTTACGTCAAGGAGGGAAGTACACACCTCCTTTACTCAAGTAGAAGTACACACATCCTTTACTTCAAGGAGAAGTACACACATCCTTTTACCTCAAGGAGAAGTACACACATCCTTTGACTCAAAGTAGAACGTAGTACACACATACCTTTACTCAAGGAGAAGTACACACATCCTTTACCTCAGACGAAGTACACACATCCTTTACCTCAAGTAGAAGTACACACATCCTTTACTCAAGTAGAAGTACACACATCCTTTACTCAAGTAGAAGTACACACATCCTTTACTCAAGTAGAAGTACACACATCCTTTACTCAAGTAGAAGTACACACATCCTTTACTCAAGTAGAAGTACACACATCCTTTACTCAAGTAGAAGTACACACATCCTTTACTCAAGTAGAAGTACACACATCCTTTACTCAAGGAGAAGTACACACATCCTTTACTCAAGGAGAAGTACACACATCATTTACTCAAGAGAAGTACACACATCCTTTACTCAAGTAGAAGTACACACATCCTTTACTCAAGGAGAAGTACACACATCCTTTACTCAAGGAGAAGTACACACATCCTTTACTCAAGTAGAAGTACACACATCCTTTACTCAAGGAGAAGTACACACATCCTTTACTCAAGGAGAAGTACACACATCCTTTACTCAAGGAGAAGTACACACATCCTTTACTCAAGTAGAAGTACACACATCCTTTACTCAAGTAGAAGTACACACATCCTTTACTCAAGTAGAAGTACACACATCCTTTACTCAAGTAGAAGTACACACATCCTTTACTCAAGTAGAAGTACACACATCCTTTACTCAAGTAGAAGTACACACATCCTTTACTCAAGGTAAGAAGTACACACATCCTTTACTCAAGTAGAAGTACACACATCCTTTACTCAAGTAGAAGTACACACATCCTTTACTCAAGGAGAAGTACACACATACTCAAGGAGAAGTACACCATCCTTTACTCAAGTAGAAGTACTCACATCCTTACTCAAGTAGAAGTACACACATCCTTTACTCAAGTAGAAGTACACACATCCCTTTACTCAAGCACACATCCTTTACTCAAGTAGAAGTACACACATCCTTTACTCAAGGAGAAGTACACACATCCTTTACTCAAGTAGAAGTACACACATCCTTTACTCAAGAGAAGTACACACATCCCTTTACTCAAGTAGAAGTACCACACATCCTTTACTCAAGGAGAAGTACCACACATCCTTACTCAAAGAGAAGTACACACATCCTTTTACTCAAGTAGAAGTACACACATCCTTTACTCAAGTAGAAGTACACACATCCTTTACTCAAGTAGAAGTACACACATCCTTACTCAAGTAGAAGTACACACATCCTTTACTCAAGTAGAAGTACACACATCCTTTACTCAAGTAGAAGTACACACATTCCTTTACTCAAGTAGAAGTACACACATCCTTTACTCAAGTAGAAGTCACCACATCCTTTCCTCAAGTAGAAGTACACACATCCCTTTACTCAAGTAGAAGTACACACATCCTTTACTCAAGGAGAAGTACACACATCCTTTACTCAAGTAGAAGTACACCACATCCTTTACTCAAGTAGAAGTACATACATCCTTTAACTCAAGGAGAAGGTACACACATCCTTTCCTCAAGTAGAAGTACACACATCCTTTACTCAAGTAGAAGTACACACATCCTTTACTCAAGTAGAAGTACACACATCCTTTACTCAAGTAGAAGTACACACATCCTTTACTCAGGTAGAAGTACACACATCCTTTACTCAGGTAGAAGTACACACATCCTTTACTCAGGTAGAAGTACATACATCCTTTACTCAAGTAGAAGTACACACATCCTTTCCTCAAGTAGAAGTACACACATCCTTTACTCAAGTAGAAGTACACACATCCTTTACTCAAGGAGAAGTACACACATCCTTTACTCAAGTAGAAGTACACACATCCTTTACTCAAGTAGAAGTACATACAGCCTTTACTCAAGGGGAAGTACACACATCCTTTACTCAAGGAGAAGTACACACATCCTTTACTCAAGTAGAAGTACACACATCCTTTACTCAAGGAGAAGTACAGATACTCGTGTTTAAAAATACTCTGGTGAAAGTAGAAGTACTGACTAAACTTCTTTACTCAAGTTAAAGGGAAGAGGCTTTGAAGTGTACTTAAAGGTCACCTATCATGCTATTTTTAGGCAATAGCAGGTCTCAGATATATAAAATATATAAAAAACACGTCTGAAGTGTTTTGCTCCAAACACCAAACAGATCATTCTAGCCACGCCTCATATCCCTCTATTTCACTTCCTGTTTCTAAAGAGCTGATTGGGTATAAAGCTTTAAAGAGGAGGGTCTGAGCTCATGTCCCTCTACTCACATAAAGCTTTAAAGAGGAGGGGTCTGAGCTCATGTCCCTCTACTCACATAAAGCTTTAAAGAGGAGGGGTCTGAGCTCATGTCCCTCTACTCACATAAAGCTTTAAAGAGGAGGGTCTGAGCTCATGTCCCTCTACTCACATAAAGCTTTAAAGAGGAGGGGTCTGAGCTCATGTCCCTCTACTCACATAAAGCTTTAAAGAGGAGGGGTCTGAGCTCATGTCCCTCTACTCACATAAAGCTTTTAAAGAGGAGGGTCTGAGCTCATGTCCCTCTACTCACATAAAGCTTTAAAGAGGAGGGTCTGAGCTCATGTCCCCTCTACTCACATAAAGCTTTAAAGAGGAGGGGTCTGAGCTCATGTCCCTCTACTCACATAAAGCTAAAGAGAGGGGTCTGAGCTCATTGCCCCTATCACATAAGCTTAAAGAGAGGGGTCTGAGCTCATGTCCCTCTACTCACAATAAAGCTTTAAAGAGGAGGGGTCTGAGCTCATGTCCCTCTACTCACATAAAGCTTTAAAGAGGAGGGTCTGAGCTCATGTCCCTCTACTCACATTAAAGCTTTAAAGAGGAGGGGTCTGAGCTCATGTCCCTCTACTCACATAAAGCTTTAAAGAGGAGGGGTCTGAGCTCATGTCCCTCTACTCACATAAAGCTTAAAGAGGAGGGTCTGAGCTCATGTCCCTCTACTCACATAAAGCTTTAAAGAGGAGGGGTCTGAGCTCATGTCCCTCTACTCACATAAAGCTTTTAAAGAGGAGGTCTGAGCTCATGTCCCCCTCTACTCACATAAAGCTTAAAGAGGAGGGGTCTGAGCTCATGTCCCTCTACTCACATAAGCTTTTAAAGAGGAGGGGTCTGAGCTCATGTCCCTCTACTCACATAAAGCTTTAAAGAGGAGGGGTCTTGAGCTCATGTCCCTCTACTCACATAAAGCTTTAAAGAGGAGGGTCTGAGCTCATGGCCCTCTACTCACATAAAGCTTTAAAGAGGAGGGTCTGAGCTCATGTCCCTCTACTCACATACAGCTTTAAAGAGGAGGGTCTAAGCTCAGTCCCTCTACTCACATAAAGCTTTAAAGAGGAGGGTCTGAGCTCATGTCCCTCTACTCACATAAAGCTTTAAAGAGGAGGGGTCTGAGCTCATGCCCCTCTACTCACATAAAGCTTTAAAGAGGAGGGGTCTGAGCTCATGTCCCTCTACTCACATAAAGCTTTAAAGAGGAGGGTCTGAGCTCATGTCCTCTACTCACATAAAGCTTTAAAGAGGAGGGGTCCTGAGCTCATGTCCCCTCTACTCACATAAAGCTTTAAAGAGGAGGGGTCTGAGCTCATGTCCCTCTACTCACATAAAGCTTTAAAGAGGAGGGTCTGAGCTCATAGTCCCTCTACTCACATAAAGCTTTAAA